ACACACTACCTTTGTTTATAACATTATCATTCGACAGGTTTTTAAACTATATAAATGGTGAGTGTACTGTACATTTATCCTTCAGCAATCTGTTTAACTTTACAATGTTAAGATTTAGTCATGGGATTGCTCAAACGACTGAGCCATCCACTCCTGATTTTGACTCATGTCATGGAGCCTGATTTCATATCGGGTTCTGCACTGTGCCAGGAGCCTGCTCAAGATTCTATTTCTCTCTCTCTCTGCCCCTCTCCCCAACTTGTGTACACTCTCTAAAATAAAAATAAAATTTAAAAATATAAATTAAAATGACTCTTTTCTGACCACGAAATTTCCCTTCTAAAGAAAAAAAATAGTCATGATGATATACATAGCTTCTTTTCATTCACTGTAACTACTAAATAGAATTCCACTGTAGGAACCCATGATTTCTTCACCCAATCTCCTGTGGATGAGCATTTAGATGGTTTCCTACTGGTCACAAACACAAAAGCAGTATTAAGCTAAATACCTACCTCAATAATCTACACCTTCCCAGTTGATTCAATAACCAATTCATAAAATAAGATTCTACAGCCTATGAACTTTGAAATCATGAAGACCTGGTTTCTACTGCTGGGACCAGCTCTGTGTTCTTGTACCAGTTGTTTAAATTTCCCTATACTTCAGATTCCTCATTTGTAAAACAGTTAATGAAAACTACTACATATGTACAGTTGAAAGAACTAATAAGATACTGTAAAACATTCAGCCTAGCACACAGTGTACATTCAATGAATAATAGCTACTATTGTTATTAACAACATCTCTTTTCAATCAAAATTATTTAAGATATTTTAAGGGCTTCAAAAAAACTATTTTAGCTGAGATTTTGCTATGTACTCAATGATGGTTATTTCTCGAAAGACTAAACAATAAAAATGTTTACTAGTGCAATAAATACAAGGGGGGGTGGGAAGGGTTATAACTTGGAAATTTAAAAAACTTGTTTGTAGGTAGGAATGTAAGTGCTTCAATCAACTAAACCCTCTTAAGAATATACATACTCATACTGAATCCTAACCCAGTGCTGTTCAATAGAAAAATAATGTGAGCCACATAGGTAATAACTTTTTTTAATATTTAAATTATTCTAGTAGCTACATGAAAAAATGTTTTAAAAGCAACAGGGTATGTTCATTTTTATTTATTTTTTAATGTCTATTTTTGAGAGACAGAGCATGAGTGGGGTAGGGGCAGAGAATCTGAAGCTGGCTTTCCACTGACAGTAGTGAGCCCCACGTGGGGCTCAAACTCACCAACCACGAGATCATGACCTGAGCCAAAGTCTGGCACTCAACCGACTAAGCCACCCAGGCACGCCAGGAACATTAATCTTAATAATATATTTTGCCTCACCCAATATATACACTCATTTCAATATATTCAAAAAATTAATAAAGGTATTTTATTTTTTTTTACACTAAATCTTCAAAATCTGACGTGTATTTTACATTTATAGCACATCACCATCCCAACTGGCCCTATCTGAAGTGCCCAATAGTCACATGTACAAGTAGCTAAGCATGGTGACAGCAGTTTTAACCTACGGCTTCTCAGAAAGATCCTTGTACCATGTTTTTAGCAACAACTTTCATTTAACAGCTAATACGGTCTCTATGCCTTTTATCAAAGTAACTCACAAACTTCAGTTCTTCCCAATAAAAAGAGCACAATTCCCTAATTTTATCAGAATTAAACGTCACAGTGGAGGAACAAAACGGGGGGAAATAATGGTACGCAGTTTACAAGACATATTCTTAAAAAAGGATTTAATTTCAGCCTCCCGGAAGCTCAGTGAGGTAGATCATTTACAGATGGGAAAACAGAGGACCAGGGTTAAGTGACTTGCCAAGAGTTATATGGTAAATGGACCCAATACCACGTCTCCAAACGCCAGTCTATACAGTTGTACACAGCAAACCAGAAGTGGGCCCTTCATCTTCGGCATAGATCTATCCCAATGACTAAAGGAAGTGTATTGACAAGCTCTAAATTTCTATTTGCACCAGAACCTAAAATGGGGGCTTAATAAAAGGCATCCAAATCTACACAAAAACATCAGAGTATGAGAAAACCATAGCAATGATCAAACAATCTCAAATAAAAAGCAGAATAATTCTGTCTCTCAAAAATATATTACCAAGATAAACAAAATCTTTGCAAATTAAACCCCATTTTGGCTTCCTCGACCTAACATATTTTTGTTACACTTTAACAAATCAAGTAAAATCAGAATACTTGGTTGTTTAGCTTAAGGACTAGTATTAAGTGTTTAGTGGTTTGGTTTTTTTAATGTTTATTTTTGAGAGTTAGTGAGCATGTGAGCAGGGGAGGGACGGGGGGGGGGGGGGGGGGGGGGGGGGGGGGGGGGGGGGGGGGGGGGGGGGAGGTAAGACCTGAGATGAAGAGCCAGTCTCTTAACAGAGCAACCTAGGCAACCCCAGTATTAAAGGTTTTTAAGTAAAAACGCAATTACAAGGATTACTGAATGCTGAACCCATCTCAGAATCACAAGTTTCCAAAAGTGAAGTCACTATGGGAAAATATACAGGTTTCCCTTCTTAAGAATACTAACTGAGGGGCGCCTGGGTGGCTTAGTTGGTTGGGCGTCTGACTTTCGCTTAGGTCATGATCTCGCGGTCCGTGGGTTCGGGCCCCGCATCGGGCTCTGTGCTGACTGCCAGCTCAGAGCCTGGAGACTGTTTCAGCCTGTGACTCCCTCTCTCTCTGACCCTCCCCTGCTCACGCTGTCTCTCTCTCTCTCTCCTAAAAATAAATAAGACATTAAAAAAAAAAATTAAAAAAAAAAAAAAGAATACTAACTGAAAGACAAAATACCCTGATTTTGGGGCGCCTGGGTGGCTTAGTCGGTTAAGCGTCGACTTTCGCTTGGGTCATGATCTCGCGGTTTGTGGGTTCGAGCCCCGCGTCGGGCTCTGTGCTGACTGCAAGCTCAGAGCCTGGAGCCTGCTTCAGTCTGTGACTCCCTCTCTCTCTCTCTGACCCTCCCCTGGTCACGCTCTCTCTCTCTCTCCTAGAAATAAATAAAACATTAAAGAAAAATTAAAAAACAAAACAAAATACCCTAATTTTATTAGTGGTTACTTCCAGTGGTAAGTGGGTTTGTGTATGTGTTTAGTTCCTTTTCTGAAAATTCTCTCCACTTTTCTATGATGCACATAGGCTATCTTTATAGTTTAATATTCACACATGACTTAAACGTAGGCCTTTAGGGGCGCCTGTTCGGCTCAGCCAATAGAGCATGTAACTCTTGATCTCTCCATGTGGTAAGTTTGGGCCGCATCTTGGGAGTAGTCACTTAGAAAATCATAAACGTATTAAGGGTTTTAAACACAGATAAGAGTTTAATACAGCTTTTCAATTTTAAACACAACCATTATTCTAATGCTAAGGTCCTCTTATGTGACTGTTAACAGGATCTCAATTAACAAGAGCAAATCTCTTCAGAATAGTTTACAAATTCTATCTCAGAAAGTACCTTCCAGCTCCAATATTTATTAACTTTTTAATTATTTTAAAATTTTAATAATCTTTATATAGGCCACAGGGGCCTGGAAACAGCAAGCTCGTTTTAGTTAAAAGTCACAATCCCCCACTTGCGATACTGCAAAATGAAGCAATGAAGAGTTTCTACGCCGCTAGCTTTTTTCTAAAAAAGATGTGTACAGGGGCGCCTGGGGGGCTCAGTCGCTTAGGCCTCGGACTTCAGCTCAGGTCACGATCTTGCGGTTTCTGAGTTCGAGCCCTGGGTCTGACCTGTGCTGACAGCTGGGAGCCCCGAGCCTACTTCAGATTCTGTCTCTCTCAATAATAAATAAACTTAAAAGATTTTTTTTCTAAAATTTAAACTATGTGTACAAATGAGTTGGCAGCCAATAGTAGCTGAGACAGCGTAGAATGCGGTGTTACCCTTCTCGGCATAACAGATTTCTTCTTCTAGGTCTCCGGAAAGCTTCATTAACTTAAGAAACACTTGTTTGTTGCATAGCTATCAATGGCCAAACTGTAAATGCAACTGAGAAGCAACCTAGAGAAATAGGGCCCTGAAAGGCGAACCCTCTCAATGGCAGAGACAAACCAGTAAACAACTAATTCGAATCCGAAGTGATATGAGCCATTTGAAGATATGACAAAGTGCCAAGCGACCACTCCTGGGGGAGATTAATTTGGCACACCTGCGAGGTGTGCCGGGAGGGCTCGGCGCTTGGGGTGGGGGATGGGGGAGGATTTGAAACTGTTCTCCTGAGCCTGACTTAAAGCAGGAATCCAGAAATGTCGCCAAAGGCTGAAGGCCGCAGTACTTTCCATCGGATCCTCCCCGTCTGCAAAGTGAGGTTAGCAGAGCCGGAGCCTGACCGCCGGCCTGGGAACTCAGCTACGTGACCACCCGGCACCCAGATGCGGCCAGGACCAAGTCGTCCTCTCAGAGGAGCTCCGGGAGCCCCCTTCTTCTCCGGGCCCCCGCGGCAGGCCACCACCTGTTCCCTCCTCTCCCCGTCACCAGTGGAGGAAAAGACTCCGCCCCGCTCTGGGGCCAAGCGCAGGCACCCATCCGGGTGCAAACCGTGATCCCTGCCAATCCCGGAACAGAAGTGGGCCGAGATTTGAGGGCCGGCAGGGCCTGCTGAGGCGGGGCGGCCCCACGGCCGGCGGCCTCCGGACAGCTCTGCACCCCGCGAGCGGGCGCCAGCGTTGGGGTCACCCGGGCCCGGCGCGGGAGGACGGCGCCCCGCACCCTCCGCGGGCCTGGCGCGGCGCCCAGTGGCGCCCCGGGTCCCCAGGGCGCACCTCCTCCCGGAGGGCGGGCGGAGGGCGCGCCGGGGGCAGCGGAGGCGGGCTCCCACACGGCAAGAAGAGCTGCCCCGCGCCGGCCTCCGGGCGCGGGGACCACCACCCCGCGCCGCCCGCCGCCCGCACGGCCCGGACCCCCGCTTTACCTGGTCCGGCGGCGGCTCGGCGGCGGCCCTCCCTCACCTGGGCGGAAGTGAGAGGCCCTGGGTGACCGCGCCTCACCTGGCAGGCCCTCCCCTCGCACCGACCCTCCCAGCCCGGGGCGGGGCGCCGGGGTGGCGCGGGCGGGGGAGCCCGGGCGCCTGGAGGCCGACTCCCGGGAGGGGAGCGCGGGGGCGGTGGGCTTCCCTATTTTCTGCAAGTGAAGTTCATCTGCGCGAGGGAAGGTTAAGAAGCCTGGAAAAGGTGGGGCCTGCGGGCCGAGTGGACAGGTGAAACGCCGAGTGGTGGGGGCAGCCGGCGCTAATGGGGTGGGGAGGTCCGGCTGGACAGGTGTTGTAGAAGGGCTGGACGGAGAGCCGGACCCAAGGTCGAGCAAATGGAAGGATATGATGAAAGGTCTTGGTCAGATCGGCTTAGTCCTCCATTGTCCCTTCCTGTTTGTCGTGTCTCCCTTGCGTTTTCTCTATCGTCTGGCCCAACCTTAAATTCTAAGACGTATACCTGGGGAAATTTAGTAGGGGAAATAAAGGAATATGGCTGTATTTGTCTGCAGTATGCCAGGCACTAGCTTTTACAGGTCTCATTTTCCTCCGTGAAGAAATTGATGAAGAAACTGCGGTCCTGATAGGTTGAGTGACTTGCCCAAAGCTTGACACCACATGGGATCTTCTGAGTCTAAGTCAGTGTTGACTTCATTAGACATTTTAACATTTTTATTCTTGTTACCGTAACTTGACTTTTAGAAAAATCTGTGTAAACCTACAATTCTCTGTCTTTAATTATTCCACTCTTTTTAATGTAACTAAGAATTTTGATGATAGGCCATTTTACTATGTATAATAAAATCCATGCATTAACCATAAAGAAAATCAGGCTTTAGGTCTGTATTCGTTAAATAAATGCAGTGTTTGTTATGCACAGTGATTGCAAAATGTTAAAAAATAAAAGGAAGATACCTGTCCTCAAGGAAGATGAGAGATATATACAAAACACCTGCAACATAAGAACATTTGTTGTAAGAGAAGGCACTTGCCACTTTATGGTGTTGTTAGTTTGCTTGTTTTAAAGGAAATATTACTCCTTAGACCTGGTAAAAAGATACATAATTGCAGCATGGCCCGGCTTCTTAGGAACTAACTATTAAGGGAAATAAATTTATACAATAATTTAGATTACCACATAGAACGAACCTAGAATTTGTGGAAGATGAAGAGATTATGCTTGTTGAAATCATCTGTTAGGACCAAAACAGGTTTTTTACAGGTGTTTGGGATTAAGGTAAAATGGAAAAGAAAATATTTCCCAAGTCACGGTACAGGTGGAGACCAATGATCTTGAGGCATCACTTTGCAAGCATTGTGTCTCTTCTTCAACAGTTGATGGTGGATTTGAATGTATTCCCCTTTCCCCCCCAAATAACGTGCCTTTCAATTGACCTTGAAACAAAGTTCAAGCTTCTTAATATGCAAGATCCTCTAAATTCTCCTCCCCTTTGCTGACTCTTCAACCTAATCTCCCACTTAACATCTCCAAGATCCTACTCTAGCCAAACAAGTCTGGTACTGGCCTTGGAATCACCACAACCAGGGCTTTTCTGTTGCTTATTCCTCCCCTTTCCTAAGGCTGGAAGGTCCTGCAAGGCCCACCATTCCCCCAGGGCATCTCACCTCTAAAGAGAAACTGCTTCCATGACTACCCCAGCAAACATTCCTCTCCACCACATTTAAACTAATTTTCTCCACATTTTTGTGTTAATTTAATGTGAGCTTTCCTTTGACTTGTACCTAGAATTTTTTAAAAAAATGTTTTTCATCTATCCAATACATTTTTTTAAGGAGCTTACTCTATGGTGAACATTTTCTGGCACTGAGTTGGTTTGTGTTTGTTTTAACTCCCTAGAACACTCCAGAGTGTCTTATTCATAGACTAATGAAGATGAACAAAACTTTTAAGAACACCTCTGTGAAATCAGAGGATCTGAGCTTGAAATCTGACTCCACCGTTTCCGAAAATACGTGACTTTGGCAAGTTACTTAACCCTACTAATTCTCATTAGGGAAACTGAAGTAATAGTGCTTACTTCATATGGTAGTTTGAAAGGTTCAGTGAAGGAATACATATATTGCATATATGTGGCACATAGAAAGTACTCAATAAATGAAGCAGCATTTAGATGGGAATGAGCATAACAGACACTGGTACCAACAAGGAAACAGCCAAGAGTAGTAGTAAATAAAGTGAGACCAGGAGAGATGGAGGAGGAGCAGAAAATATTTCAGGGAACTTAATATTATGAGACTTTATCCTTCATCTCTATGAAATTAAAGAATGACTTAAATTTTTTTTAATAGAATTCATCTCTCTTAACATTTGATGCTTGGTGTCTATTCTTTTAAAAACTTTTTTTAAAGAACTTTTAGGGTCATAGAAAAATTGAAAGGAAGACAGATTTCCCATATGTCTCTTTCTCTCATACATGCATAGCCTTCTCCTGTATCAACATCCCTCGCCAGAATGGTATATATGCTACAATTAATGAACCTCCATTGACACATCAAAATCACCCAAAGTCCATTGCTTACATTAAGGTTCACTCTTGGTGTTGTACCCTCTATGGGTTTAAATAAATGCATCATGACACGTATCCACAGTTATAGTATCATGCAGAGTATTTTCACTGCCTTAAAATTCCTCTTGTACTCTGCCTATTCATTCGCCACCCTACCTCCAACTCCTAACTGCCTCTGATCTTTAATTCTCTGTAGTTTTACTTTTCCAAAATGTCTGACAGTTGGAATCAAATAGTATATAGCCTTTTTACATTGGCTTCTTAGAAATAAGCATTTGGAGCGCATGGGTGGTTCAGTTGGTTAAGCATCCAACTTCAGCTGAGGTCATGATCTCATGGTTCATGGGTTGGAGGCCTGAGCTGTCAGAGCCTGGAGACTGTTTCGGATTCTGTGTTTCCCTCTATCGTCTCATTCCCTCTATCTGCTCTGTTCCCCCTCCCCTGCTCATTCTCTGTCTCTGTCTCTCTCTCTCAAAAATAAACAAAACATTTAAAAAAATTTTTTAAAGATATAAGCATTAAGATTCTTCCATGTTTTCTGATGGCTTGATAGCTCTTTCTTTTTAAAGCAATAAATAACATTCCATTGTCTGGATGTACCACAGTTTATATATTCACCTACTAAAGGACATGTTGCATGTGAGCTGTGCTAATCTTCTCTTTATTGTTCTGATTTTAGTATTTGTGCTGCTGAAGAGTGCACACCTACTAAAGGACATCTTAATTTTTACCCAGTTTTGGCAAGTATGAATAAAGCTGCTATAAACATCTATGTGCAGGGTTTTGGGTGGACATAAATTTTCAACTCCTTTGGCTAAATACTGTGTAACTGAATAAAGGAAACATCATTTAAAATAGAGTTGAGAGACCCAAAGAAGAAGCGCTCATGCTTTATCAACCTAAGGTCAATTCCAGAGCCCCCAAAGAAGCCTACTTTACTACCTCAGCAAGAGGAAGATTTTCTCCTCACCCAGCAACAGCCCAGCCAATGAGTAACTGCCACAAGTCAACCAATGAGAACTCATCACCACCCTGAACTCCATTTTTCTCCAATGGACCTTTGTTCAAAGCAACTCCTCCTAACTTTCTCCTTTTTCTCTATACAGTAACATTAATCTCTTTTGTTCTCCTGATTAGACTAGTTTACTATAGCTTGCATGTCTCAAATTGCAATTCCTCTGCTATTTCTGGGGGAAAAAAACATTTTCTAGCAAAATAACTGGCCATTTTATTTTTGAAATCAACAATGTGAAGGAACTTACATAGCATTTTGAGTAAGATTTTGAAAATGACATAGGTTTTTCTTTTTTAATGAAAAATTAATCAGAAGCAATACAAAAAATGAATTGACAAACTTGGAGAGAGGGCTTAGAATCAAAAAGAAGATAAAAAACAAAAAGAAGAGGGCTCTAAGTGGCTCAGTTGGTTGAGTGTCTGACTTTGGCTCAGGTCCTGATCTCAACTAGTATTCTTGAATTGGAGCCCCACTTCAGACTCGTTGCTGTCAGCAAGGAACCCACTTCAGATCCTCTGTCCCCCACTTTCTCTGCCCTTCTCTCACTGGTGCTCTCTCTCTTTCTCTCTCAAAAATAAAATAAACATTAAATAAAAAAAAAAAAAGGAGGGGAGATGCCTGGGTGGCTCAGTTGGCTAAGCATAAGACTTCAGCTCCAGTCATGATCTTGAAGCTCGTGGGTTTGAGGCTGTCAGGCTCTGCACTGATTGCTCGGAGCCTGGTGCCTGCTTCATATTCTATGTCTCCCTCTCTCTCTCTGTCCCTCCCTCACTTGTGCGTGAACTCTCTCTCTCTCTCTCAAAAATAAATATTTAAAAAAAGAGAGAGAGAAAGGAAGAAATCATAACAGCAAGGTAAATAGGAAATGATAAATAACCCAAAATAGGGTTAAGAATATAGGATTGAAAAAAATGAACACTTAAGAATATTGGTCGCTTACTGATTAGATAAAGGAATTACTGAAGAATAAAGAGAAAACTAAAATGTAAAGAGGATTCTAAATTTTAAATCTGATAGAAAGGACATGGGTGGTGAAACAGAAAAGCCAACTTATTCCGTTTTGGCTTTTGAGACACAGACTCTGATAGAGTCAGTTTTTAGATACTACATTTGACATTCAAGATGAAATATACTTGGCATAGAGTAGGCCTTATGAAGTGATGAGTCAAAGTTAATTGGATAGTAGGCAGTTAAACTGGTGCACAAAGAGAGGACACAATCAGAAATACTTGAGAGACAGCAGCATGGATATGGTAGAATTCCAAATATGCAGCAGACCATAATAAATATCTCCTAGAGGCACCTGACTGGCTTAGTGGGAGGGGCAAGCTGCTCTTGATCTGGGGGTCCTGATTTCAAGCCCCATGTTGGGTGTAAAGATTACTAAAAATAAAACTACAAAAAAAAATCTACCAGAGCC